AGACCCATATTTGACCTTGACCTTCGTCTTCCCAAGACTTACCAACATAGCAAATATCATCATAATCCATAAAGGCGTTATGAAGTTATGCTGACTACAAATGTACGGGAAACACACACACACACACGCGCGACCAAAAAAACAATAGCTCCATTTTCATGGAGGTAATAAAGACATCTTCAATATATCATTTCTGTAGAAAGGCACCACCAACCACAACATCGCCAGCGCTGAGGGTTACAGTAACGAGGCCAAATGGGACTCTGTTGGCCTCGGCGGAGGAGAGGTCTCGTCAGGGGGAAGCAGGTAAGTAAAACAAAATCAGCAGCAGCAAATTCGCCGTAAGGCGTAATTGGTCCCTTATATACTACATTAAGCATAGGCGTTACCTTTATACAACGTAAAACGTAAACCGTGAATTACTAGTACACCGTAAGCTGATTTCAAAATCGTCCTGATTAACGTAATTCGTAAACTGCGTCCATGATTTTGCGCCATTCGTAATCACTATGCTCCCCTTCCCCATGCCGAAGCAACATGCTGACAATTCTTTTCAAAAGTTAATGTGATACGCCAACTGATAAGAACACCTTTCTGTTTCAGTGACTTTACATGTCCAGGAACTCACTGAAGAGGGCAGACAGCATCCTGCCTTCGCACAGCTTGCTTCGGTAAATCTGAGTAAATACATCTGAAGACATTAACCGTTTATCGTTTACTTCCTACCCTCTCTTTGCTGTGAATAAATCAACCGAGTTATTTCACGCATACATAAGTATATGTAGATACGGTAAATGATGATTAGTACAACAGTTGCATCTGTTAACAGTGTTTTAATTTGTTCCAGGTGCCAGGTGACATCACAATCGACATGAGCATCTTCCTGATAAGAATAGAGAAAGTACAGTAGAATAGTATTATAATTATAATCAATTGTTTATTGCAAATTCTTGCCCGAGGGCTAATTGCAGAAACAGAAGAGATATGGTATAAAAACAGACAATAAGTACATATAGAACTATTGATAACTACTAAGAATCTACTGTTAAAAACTACTGGGTTTCACTTTTTGAAGACAGAGGAAGACAAAGGATCCCACTTTTTCTATAATTTGTGGGTTTTCGGATGTTAAGAGGAGAGTGGTTTTCTTCTCATTTGTATATGTGTGAAAGTTTGGGTAGAATCTGGAGGCTACGTCAAAGAGTTCATTTCGGTCATTGCTATAGAGGGTACAATTTGATATAAAATGCGTTTCGTCTTCCACATATTATTGTTATAATATATATATTCTAATTCAAAGTGCTAGAAATCTATACATTACAACAATACTATATACTACCTATCATCTACTGTTAGTTGCCCTTAGTTCTCTTTTTTTGAAACATTTGGAAACATAATTAATTAATACTGTACATTCGTTCTTGCATAACATCGTGTTTAAACATGTCCTGCTTTGACATTTTCTTACATATGTTGTTGTAAGACCCCAAAGATACCCCCCCTAGTAGAATAGGACAGTCCAGTGACCTACAGAGGTCACCTAGGAAACCAGTTGAAACTGGATGACTGTACCCACATGTTCTACTGAAGAATACATACAGATCCACAGTACTCCAAGTTCGGCTCTTCTGTTCATTCCATAAACCCTGGGATTGGATCGTTACACTGGTGGCAGCGGTGTTCGGACTCTTCGCCGTCCCTAACCACCGGACTTTATTCGTCAACAACCGGCGGATCGCTGCGTTCGCCGCCTCGGCGGTACTCGCCCCCCTCCCCCTCTGGCCCATGTGCGTCTACCTTCAACTTCCCGGACCGCTACGCTCTCTTTCCTGTCAAGGTAAGCTGTCGGCTCGCACTGAACTGTTGAGAATTTGGAACTGCCCGTCACTATATGGCTACCGCTAGTGATTCTGTCGTCGTTATCGACGAGGACATTTCATTCAACTACAACCCTGTGGCTCGCACCCCCTCGAACGTAATGGCGTCGCCCACACAGACGGGTCTCCCACCGAGGTTTCCCAGTCCAGCTTCATTCCCTCCAGCTGTACCGTCGCAACCACCACCTCCTGGTACGTCTGTTACACCTACCATATACACATCTCAGGCCACAGCCCACCCTTCACTCCAGCCTGGGGCTAACACTCACCCTCCCAGGCCGGTATCACAAATCGACCGTCAACCACCACCTCCTGGTACAGCTGTTACAACTACCGTATACACATCTCAGGCCACAGCCCGCCCTTCACTCCAGCAGACCGGCACTCCGGTATGGGTCTACCACCCACCCACCCAGGCATCCTCAGCCCCCCCCAGACCAAAAGTCACAAAAGCACACATCACCTACCCCAAGG